CTAGGGGGAGGGGTGGGTGAGAGGGGGAGAACAGGGGATTCTGTGGCTATTATGTTGAACTGAATGGTGTTGTAAAATAATAATAATAATAATAATAAAAAAAAAAAGAAGAAAAAAAAAAAAAAAAGATCTAGTTACTCACTCACCTAAAGAATAAGTAATTGATTTACAAGTTTCAAGAAGAATTTCAGCCAGAGCTTCAGGATCAGCATGTTCTTCTTCCAAAAGCATTAACCTATAAAGATGAAAGTGATATACAATGTTACCCATAACAAACAGTTTACAACTTTCCTAGCATAACTTCTATCTGAACATATCACTTTATCATGTTACTTCATATACTAGTGGTGTCTAAATTAATAATATGACTGTGTAAATGTACACAGTGCAGTATTATTGTACTATTAAAAAACGACACCATGAGATTTGCAGGCAAGTGGATGGAACTACAAAAAAAATCATCCTGAGTGAGGTAACCCATACCCAGAAAGATAACTATGGTATGTAATTACTTATATGTGGATATTAGCTGTTAAGTAAATGATAACCAAGCTATAATCCAGAGAGGCTAAGTAAAGAGGAAGGGTCTGAGGGGGGAATGCATGAATCTTCCTGGGAGGGGAAAGTAGATTTTATAGGCAGACTGGGGACAGGTGGGGAGGGGGTAGGGAACAAGGTGCAGAGGAGATAGGGTAGAGGGAAAAGAGGGTGGAGAGAGACGGCTAGAACTGGGGGGCATTTGTGGGGTGGTGTGCAAACCTAGTACAGTAATAACTTTCTGGGATCTATGAAGGTAATCTTAATGAGGGTTCTTAGTATTGGGGGTAAGGAGTCTCAACTGGCTATCTCTTGTAGCCAGGCAAGGCTTATGGGACTGGGCTGCATTCAACTGAGCTGTTGGCCAAGGTGGGTGCCACAGAAATCTCCAAGCAACCCAGGCTGTTGACAAGACAAAGGGTTGTTCTCTATAATAGAGAGTAGGACCCCATTGCCCAGGACAGCACCCACACAACTAATTTAACATAGAGACATTGATCTGGTGTCCACATGGAGCCTTCACTCCTATGTTCTAGTCCCTGGTGTGGAAAGGTACTTTGCAGGCAGTCTACCAAAAGAGAAACACGGACGCCAACCCAGCCACTAAACCTCTGGCCTACTGCAATCTGTCCTGCTTGCAAAATACACTAGGGCATTGGTGACACAGGTTTGTGTGAGTAGCCAACCAATGTCTGATTTGACAGAAGCAGATGGGAACAGTTGCCGAGACTCATAGCCAGACATTATGCAGAGAGAGAGTCTAAATGAGAGGTCTACATCAGACCCCCTCCTTCGGAGTTCAGAGAATCCCCCAGAAGAAGAGGTGGAAAGACTGTAAGAGTCAGAGATGAAGGACACCAGGAGGACAAAGCCCTCTGAATCAACTAAGCAAGGCACATATGAGCTCACAGACACTAAAGCAGCAAGCACCCGGCCTACGTGGTCTACACCAGGTCCTTTGTGTCTATATTACAGCTCTTAGCTTAGCATCCATGGGACTCCTGACTGTGAGAACGAGTGGGTCTCTGGCTCTTGTGCCTCCTTGGGACTCTTCTCCTCCTGCTAGACTGCCATGCACAACTCTGATATGATAGATTTTGCTCTGTCACTTTCGGTTGTTATCTCTTAGAAACCCTGTTCTTTTCTAATGAAAGACAGAGAGGGGGTGGATCCAGAGGGGAGGGAAGTGGGAAGGCACTGGGAGGAGTAGACAGAGGGGAAACTATAATTAGGATATATTGTATGAGAAAAGAATCCATTTTCAATAAAAATGTATAAATGTTAAGACTTCCATTCAATAGGGAAATAAAATAAAAACCTGGATCATGAAGCAAATTACCCCTGGAAAAAGGCGTTCATCGACTGGAGGACACCGAGCTGCACTTTCCACGTGCTGAGTCTCAGCCGTTCACACATCAGTTTGCAGAGCTCCTGACGGTAACAGCCTGGGAGGAAGATGAAGGGACAGAGGAGGAAATATGTAAAGGTGAAAGATGACAAAGAAGGAACAGAGAAAAGAAGGTGCAGCATTAAAACAAAGACAAAAGTGAAAGAATATGAGGTCCAATAAATGCCTTTAATGGACATGGAATTTTCTCCAAACTCTTAGCAGGATTTTCTATCTAATTTCCAAAAACATTTCCGTGATCAGAGCCTCCTACACACACACACGCACGCACGCACACACGCACGCACGCGAGTTTGTCTTAATGGTTTGCTGTTGAGGCACTGTGTCTTCCACAGAGTAGAGGCTGCAGATTAGCCACACTTGTAAATTCCCTTAAGGAAACCAAAAAGTACAGAAAAACCCTTGAGCGCCCTCTAGAGTCCTCGGCCAGCTACAAGTTGATTAACAGGGTTTTTTTGTTTTTGTTTTTTTTGGTTTTGGTTTTTCGAAACAGGGTTTCTCTGTGTAGCTTTGCGCCTTTCTTGGAACTCACTTGGTAGCCCAGGCTGGCCTCGAACTCACAGAGATCCAACTGCCTCTGCCTCCCAAGTGCTGGGATTAAAGGCGTGCACCACCACCGCCCGGCCACAGTCAGTTTTTTATCATAAACTAGTCCCTATCACAAAGTGTCTCCATCATTAGACAATTACTATTATCCTAATAGATAGGAGTATAAACTCAACAAAAAATAAAAAATTGATAGGAGTTGGTTTTAAATGCTTAGAACAGGGCTTTCCAAACTTCTGATGCTCCAATGTGACATCATCTTTAACATGATGGGCTGCATTCATATCTACCCTGGGGACAAATGTGGCCAATAAGCCCTAAGTTGAATACCTACTATAAAATTTATAAGGTTTAAATATAAAACATAAGAAGGGGTAAAAATTCTACACTGATTACTTCATAACAGTTTGTGTTTTGTGTCTCTACTTCAAAGAGACACAAAAAACAGAAATTAGAGCTGATACTGTGAAATGTGAGAAGCTAGTATGCAACACTGATATTCTGAAACAAAATGCCTTGGCTCTCTGCTCCGAAACTGGTAAACAAATGTACATGTCTATGTCTTGTGTTAAAGTCTTATTTATATTGTTACCTTTCTTATGGAATTCCCTCCTTTAACTTTAGCTATAAAGCAAGTTAATCAAGCAATCTGATGTTCACTATAGTTCATAACACCACTCACACATTGATAGATTCTTTTGAGAATCTATCATGCTACACATTCCTCATGCTACACAAAGAATGATGGGCTCAAAGAAAATACTATACCTGAGTTAACATATACAAATAATACAGAGATGTTCATTGGGACAGAATGTAGTTCCCAGAATAAGACAAAATATTTAGCATTTGCTCAAATTTAAGGCCTTGTCAATGGGCTATAACTATAACTTGAACCAATAATCACAGCTTACTATTTAATCCTTCCTAAATATATGTTTAGTTCTGAAAATTTCTGCCATGAGTTTCTCAATAAAATAGCTATCACTTGCTTACTGAAGACTTGATAGCAAGGCTAGCAATTTTGAAAGGAAGGAATTCTACTAATATTGTAAACTTTTCAGAAAACAACTATGAACCTAAACAAGAGTAACAAAACTAATTTTATAGTCAAATATCTACATAAAATGCAACATGGTTGTTATAAAATCAACTGTATCCCCCAACCTTCTTGTATTATACAAAATGACACAATATTTAAAGGAATCATATGATCCTAATCTAATCCCCTTACAAGAGATCTGGACACAGGAACACAGAAGGAAGCCATGTGAAGACAGGAAAGGCAACTATTCACAAGCTAAGTGGAGAAGTCTCAGAAGAAGCCAACCCTACCAACAACTCGATCTTGGACTTCTATCTATCAAAACTGGAAAAAAAAAATCTGTTGTTTAAATCATTCAGTCTGTGATAGTTTTGTTTTAAAGATATATTTTACTTTTATTTATTTTGTGTATAAGTGTTTTGTCTGCATGTCTATCTGTGCACCACATGGCTGCCTTGTACCCTTGGATGCCCTGGGACAGGAGTTACAGATGACTGTGAGTGCCAGAAATCAAATTCATTGGGTTTTCTGGAAGAGCAGCTAGTGAGTGTGCTAAACCACTGAACTTTCTCTCCAGCCCCCTGTGATACTTTCTTATAGTATCTCTAATAATACAGTGATCCATGTACTTATTTGCTGATGTAAGAGTAAAATGGATATAGGATAATTCTCACTATTAATATTCAGACTATATAAAGATTATTACTAAGTCATGCCGAAAAATCTGTGTTCTTGCTAAGTGACTTCTAGTTACAATACTTCTACGAATCTGCGCTCCAGTGCTTACGTTGAGTTTCTGGATTCCTGGGCCATGCTTTGCCCAAGCTCTCGAAGGCACCCAGCAACGATTCCAACTGCAGCTCTCTTTCCTTATCATTTTCATCTTCAGCTTTGGTGCTCCGGACTCCCATGCTTTCAAGTGAGTTCTAGGACATTTCAAAGAAAAGAAAATTCTAGTACTTCCTTCTTCAAAGTTAGTTATATTATTGATACAATCAGAGTGTAGAACAGGAGATACTGACCAAGAACCAACCGCTGTTCTCTACCATGAGTTCTTCTGTTTGCAGTAAGAGAATATTTATTTCTAATAAATTTGAGAAATACTTTAATTTGTAAATAAGAGTGGAAAAAATACTGCATATGTACTATATTGAGTATAACCTAATAAGACTTATATTTGAATCAAGAGAATTAAAGATGGGAAGAACTTGGCAATGTTCCAAACACAAACTTTTAAAAAACTGGTAAAGGAGCCAGAAGTAATTCAATCAGCTAGCAAGCAATATAATCCACTTAAAATACAAATCTCCAAAGCCCATAGATTATCACAGAAATACCTAAAACAGCCTTATTACTGAAAAAAAATCAAATATATGAATTAAGAGCAACACAAGGAAATATCTCATGCTTTAAAAATAAGTAGATCAGGCCAAGCGTGATAGCATACGCCTTTAATACCAGCATTCAGGAGGCAAAGGCAGGTGGATCTCTGTTTAAGGCTATCCTGGTTTAAAAAGCTACATGGTGAGTTCCATCACTACACAATAAAAAGAGCCTGTCTTAAAACTAACCAAAACAAATAGACCAGCTATATCCCTCATTCCTTATGATGCCCACTTTATTAAAAAATGAGTACTTTGGTTTCCAAATTAAGCCAGTCATTTTTTTTTTTTCCAACCAAAATTTCCCCTAGAACAATGCAGAGGTGAACTATACAACACACAGTACTCCTTGACTTCATACTAAATGACTACTTGGCATCTGCACATGTAGCAAGGTAGAGTTTGCTATGGCAGAAGCTGTTCACTATATCGTTACTCTCTTCCTTCTCCCACAGGTGGAAAAAGGTGCCCATATGAAAAATTACCTTTTCTAGCCTCATCTGCTGCCAAATGGGGCTATGTGGCTAAGAGTGCTGGCCAATGGAATATGAATCAAAGTGTTATGTTTCTGTTTCCAGAACTTTTCTAGAGAGAAATGATATGCTTACTATGACCCTAACTTTATCTCTTCTGTCATCTGCCTGAGATCCAGATAAACCATAGATCATGAGGATAACATATAAGAAATAGGATCATTGAAGACTTCAGGGGCTTCCAATTATCAAGTAAGACAAACTTGTATCTTATTTGAGGCCGTAATATTTTCGGAATTTTCTGATACTTTACTGCTAAACTTGTCCTAATAAAAACACATGACCAGGATAGAGGAAAACCTAAGGTGATAGAGATTGCCATTACCTTCTTGATGAGGGGTATGACAATGTCAGAAAACTCCTGGAACCTGTCTTCTTTGGTGGCTTTCAAAACATCAGCTGCACAGCAGATTGCTACAATCTTATATTTGAGATTCTCTTTGCAACACTCCTTCAAGACCGCCTGAAGAATTTCATTTGTGGTGGGTTGATTGGGCACAGACTTTTCCAACTCTGTACTACAGAATCCATAGAAAAACATCAGAATGGTTAAGAAAAGCTTCAGCTTTAAGCTTCCCATTAAGAAAAAGTATGTTCACTAGAGAACATTTACCTGCAAGCTGTCACCACACAGGCAATGGCTTTTAGTAGTTCTTCCTGATAAGTTAAAGATGAAGAAATACTATTAAACCTACACGTCACATTTTTGCACTATGACTACAATCACCCCATTGAGAATTTTATAACCACAACAAAAACTAACATTTATGCACTTATGCACATTACTGAATTCTGCCCAAACCATGAATCTCTAATTCATAAAGGCCCAAGAACTGGTAACCAAGGTCACCAGGCAATCCACTATTACGACCACAAACAATACTGTGGTGGGCACTGGTGACCTTTACAAAACAGAGTACAAATACTGCCTCAATCTCATGTTTTCCACAGAACACCCAATATACATATTTTTCTATCACCGTTGTATAAAAGTTTCCAATTCTCAAGTCCCAGCAATGAGCATCTTTGGTGCCAGGATTAGACACAGTTCAGTGTACTCAATTTCATATATGGCCAATTCTGGCTCTACTGAAGATCAGTGGGCACAAAATGGTGACCTGGTTTAAGAGGTACCTTGTAAGCTAAATATGTAAAACACACCAATCTCCAAAATTACTATGCTTTACTCAAGAACACATGGGACATACTTTGATATAAAATGCCACAGATAATTAGGCAAAATGTTCCTCTAGCTAGAAAACCTTGCCACAAAAATAATCCCAAGTCACATCAAATCAGATTCCTATTCTATACAAAGATGTAGTCCCAATTCTTTAACATGATGGTTCTTTTACCTTTCCTGCCCATGTTCTTCCAGCCAGGCCTTGCACCAAAGCACTCAGTATCATTCCCAGATATGGAGGTACTAGAGAGCTTGTTTGTTTTGCAATTGATGCCATAGCAATTGCACCCTGGGCTTTCATTTTCCAAGATGGCGACTGTAAAGCCTTCTGGGTAATAGTAATCAACTCCTGCAGGTATAATCGAATACCTCCAAAGGAGCCTACATTGAAAAAAAAGGAAGGTTAAAACACCTCTCAAGTGACAGGAAAAATTTTTTTAAATCATTTTTAAATGTAAGTCAGTGCCATCTATCTAAAGCAGTGACTGTCAACTCATAAAACACACCACCAGCTAAAGGGAGAGACAGTAGGTAGTGCAACTTCTCTTTGTAATAGCAGGAATTCATGAACTTAGACATACTGTCAGGGATGTTATTTAAAAAAGGTCATCATCACTAATGTGTATCAAGGTTAAAAACACAGCTCTACAATAATCCTCTAAGACCACATAAAATCACAATTACACTCAACTAACCTAAGTAAAGTTCTACTTTGCTTAGACACACAGTTTATATTCTCTCACACAGACAGCAACAAGTCAAGGGGAAGAGCTCTGAGTGGCACTTTGCAAACTTAGAAATTGGGATGTGCTAAAAATGAAATGTGACACATGTTCAAGTCCTTGGAAAATTATTAATCAACAATGTGAGTCAAAAATTCCAGCTGTGTTCCTAAGACACACATTTACTTTGCAGCCACCATTACTAACCAGGTACATTTTCCTGCCACACTTCAGTCCACAAATTACACTCTTCTTTTTCAGATTTCTCCTCATCAGCAATTTCATGCATGCCTAGAAACGCCAAGGGCAGAACTTCTTTGGCATGGTTCTTCAACACATCAGGACTGTATCTTCCAATTGCATGAATCGTCAAAGCACAAGCGGTCTTGTAGATAGGTTCTCAAGAGAAGAAACCAAAATTCTGTCAGCATTTACTATTTTTCAGGGGAAATGAACGCTATAATTTATTTGGTTAATATAAATTTAAAATGACATAAGAAGAAAAAGAAAGGTACCTTCTTTCTCCATGTACCAGCCATTGAGCTTCTGGAGCAGTTTTTCAGTGCTGCTGTCCCGTGAAGTCTGAAAAACAAATAACCCTGTTCACTCCTTTATAATTCCCAGAGCTGTACTTAACTGAGTGAGAAATTCAACTCACCCGAACTAAATGGCCCATGGCGAATGCACAGGATTTCTGAATTACACTGTTCCGATCTGTCAGACCACTAAGCAAAGCACTCATAAGTTTACCTACAGAAAAAAATAAAAACATCAATTGTGTGGTTGGTCAAATATTTTGTTACATTCCCAGGACTAAAAAAAATCCCATAATCCTGAAATTAATCAGATTTACTAAATAGTAGTTTAGATCTTTTGAATATTACTTGTACTATCTACTTTCTTTCATTTGATTTAAAAATTAAAAATTATAGCTTCCACAATGAAATTTTTCCTTTTTTCCTCTAAATTTTCTTTTATTTTATTGGGGGGGGGCAGGCAGGGTGGAGTTGCAAGGGCAGAGGGTGAATACAAAGGGACCAGAAATGAATGGGATTGAGATGCATGATGTGAAAGACACAAATGATAAATAAAGTTTAAAAAATAAAATTAAAATTAAAAATTAACCTCTGTCCAGAATATTGTGGAAAATACAAAACTGAGAGCTATATACAGAAACCCCACCAGAACCCTATCTAGAAAAGAAAAAAAAAACTCATGTAAAGTCAGCTATAAATAGTTTTAAAAAAGTGTGTTGTGTGTGTGGGGGGGGGTTCTGCAGAATCAAAGGTACTTTTTTACCTCTTTACATCACTGAGAAACTTACTTGTAAGACAATAAAAGCTTGCTAACAAAATGACTGGGTCAGGTTTGAGTAGAAGCCAAGCAAACAAGCATGTCCAAATAATTTTCCTTTTTTAAAACTCTGAAATAATAAACACAGCCATGAAAAAGTGTCATAGGACAAACTCACCTGAGTGGGGCGTTAGGTCCTGGGGACACTGAGTAGTCAGGGATACGATGACACTGGCACAGCCTCCCTTTAAGGTCACAAAAACAAAGGTCTAAATTTCATGTCACAATGTTCTATCAAGCTACTTCTTTTAGGCACCAACAACTTAAAGATAAAACACATTAAGTCCAATAGCTACTCTGGGATTCAAAATAGAAAAAGAAAAACATTTTAGACTAGTTATACAGAGATTATTGTTTTAGGAGCAAGAACTTAAGGCACTGTGCATAAGAAAGAAAACAAGTATAACTCTCAGAATGAAATGTGTCACAAACAACTGTATTAATATTTCCATTTCTAGAAATTTCCAAAGAAATCAGTTTATATGTGTCCAAAGAGAAGAATGGTTCTTTATTTAATATCTTTTCAAAAGCTGAAAAGTCAGATGTCCTTTGTTTGACTGAAATAAAGGATGTATTGCCACAAGCAGAGTATCACATACCCCTTACAGAACACAATGTAGAAGATATGCATACAGAGAATACACAGGAGGGAACACTCAGAAATATAAACAGCTGTTTACTCTGCAAGGTAAAACTATCAGTGTTTGTATTTTTAACTTTCTCCTGATTTATAAACGTTAATTAGAAGTGAAGTCATTTTGTCAGGAGAAGAAATGAGTTATTTCTTTTAAAATGGGACGAAGCTGAGTGTCAGGACACACACAGCCCCAGCACTGCCAAGTCTGAGGCAGGAAGGCAGTGTGGGGACACCGCAGAGTGAGATTTGCTCTAAAATAACAACGACGAAGTTAACAGTAGGAAAAAAGATGAAGGCATTATCTGACCTTTCTAAGTGTCTCAAAAAGAAATTATTTTTCTACCCAAACACTTATTGACTCTTACATGAAAATTCCTAATCACTATGTAAAATGATTACTCCTTGACAGATGAGTGAGCTTCTTCATTAACTGGTAATGACAGAAAATCCAAAAACATTTACATAACAACCAGTAAGCAGAGCATGATAGCATGTAAGAAAGCATACAAGCATGATGCCTGTAATTCCAGCACTAGGAAATACAGGCAGAAGGATCAAAAGTTCAATGATGTCCTCAGCTATATAGGAAGTATGAGACTGGACTAGGCTATAGGAGACCTTGTCTCAATAAGTAAGTAAGTAAGTAAGTAAGTAAATACATAAATACATACATACATACATATATACATACATACATACATAAATGAATAAATAAATAAATAAATAAATAAATAAATAAATAAATAAATAAATAAATATGAGGCCCACCATTGTATGTGCAAGGGGTGTACACACACTCACTATTGGTATGGTAGCACATGCTTACGATAAATCTTCCAATATTAGAAGGTCAAGACAGGAGGACTACCATGAGGCCAGGCTATGCTATATATGAGTTGAAGGACCAGCCTTAGCTACATGACAACAACTTGTCTTTAAACACACACACACACACACACACACACACACACACACACACACACACACACACAAAATCTTACCTTAGTTCCGAGACCTACACCACTTCTGATCAGTTCACATAACCTAGGAACTAGCTCACCCAGCACTGAGACATCAAGATATTGCAGGCACTTTGAGAAAATAATAAATACAAAGGCAACATTTAAAAACTACCCACGTCAAATATACACCTATTGTATTTAACATAAAGTTGAAAATCACTACTTTGATTTTGCTCCAGCTGAATTATTTAAACTACCACAGTACTACAAACAGAAAATTCACTCACTAATGGTTCAACATTTTAAAATATAGAATAAAACAAAATAATGAAGAAAATCAATTTACTAAAAGAAATGATTACCTAAGGATAAAGGATCTCCCTTTAAATCTCCCTCTATCAATCTATATCTAATGTAAAATGCCTAGGTTAAAACCTCCAAAGTGGGTCTAGCCTTCTAGACCCCAACTAAGTTAATTTCTTATATGATTTCACCAATGCTTGTTATAATCCTTAAAATGCAAGCACACACTCAATAGTTATGACTATTTCCAAGTGATGTTTCCTAACTACTCCTATCACTTTTCCCAATAATACAACTAAGATGTAAGATTCTTAGACTAAATACTGGCAACACTTCCCAGTAGACATTAAACACCTTATTCTTGTCCAATTTGTGGCCTACTTAGCAAACAATTTCCAGAAGCCTGCAAGCTCTTAATAGTCACTACAAAAATGCCCAAACGGTGACTCTGTCCAGACTCTGAGAACTGTAGAACTCAGAACCTCAAAGGCCATGAATTCTTCACTGCAAGATGTTCTGACATCTGAAACACATCACTACTGCTCAGTTTCTGCCATCTATCTTCTGTGCTGCCTACTTCATTAAAATACCTCTAAGCTTACACTGTCAGGGTCCTTTCCAAAGAAATTTCTCAGAGGCAGGCAAAAAGTAATGATAATAATAATAAAATAAATAACACACCTCTGAACCTTTCTAAAATAAGCAGACTAAAAGATAAATCGATACAAATTTATAATAGGTTGTTTTCCATGTAACACAAATTTGGACTAATTCTGCTACCTAGAAAATTTATTCCTATTAGTAATTAAGAAAAATGCCCATAAATATGTACAATTTTTATATACCAGTTAAAAACTTAAAATTTTTGAAAGAAAACACTGCATTCACAGTATTTTATGAAGGCATTCCCCTTCAGCTTGTTTCATGTTACACAGCATAAAGTCTTTGAAGAACTGCACTTCAAGAGAAGCCAATGAGCTTTTCAATTGTATTTGGAAACTCACCATGTTGACTGTCTCCATCATGGGAGAGGACTTGGCGGCAGTGAGCCGAGCACTGTCCATTACAACCTAAAGAGCACAAACTCGAGTCACTCAAGGACATTTCATTAATTATGAATTAGGCACATAAACTCCAATTAAAGGGTCTTATTTCCAAATTAAAGGATTTTAAATAAACAATCACTAATGAACCCAGGTGAAATTCTAATTCTAGTATCTTCTGACTTCACATAACAATTTAACTGTACAATGAACATTTCCCTAAAGGTCAGAAATTCAGACAACAGTTAGAAATAAACAAAATAGATGGGCAGTGATGCATCACTAGTACACTGTACACTCAGCATGCATAAGGCCCTGGGATCAATCCCAAGTACTACACAAAATGAACTAATGCATTCACTTACTAACAAATATACTATGGCCTCTACTCAAGTCAATAGACCTTCTTGGGGCTCAGGTTCTCTATCCACTTAAAAAGAGAATACACAAAATTTCTACACAACATTTAAAAAGTTGTCTAAGCAAAATAAAATAAAATAAAATAAAACAAAAAACAAAAAGTGCATGTGTGTATGTAATTCATTTAATTCTTTAACTTTATAAAGTGGATTCTTATCTACAAAGATATTTTAATAAAAATTATGCTAGGGGAAATCACTATCCAGAGAAAGGCATGCAAAAGTGATCTACTAAGGTTTGCAAAGCATGGACAGAATTTATGCCCCCTAATTCTCAATCCCTAGTAAGCACTGTATGGGAGGTGGCAACCCTACTACTGAAAGAGGAAAGAATGATGAATAAAGAAAGCCCCCCCACACTCACAAACTTTTGGGTCTGCAGGGCTCACAATCAACCAGACCGCCCAGCGCCAGTGGTACCATCATACCAAGGGTATACATCTCTAGGCCCGAGCATGGGAGGAAGACAAGGCAACAGGTCCGTGCCATCCCTTACAACCAGGGTGGGCAGTACTCAACCAAGTGCTACCTGTAACCCAACCATGAGCCCTGGCGCTAGGTGGTTGGGTACCATCGTAGTGAGAGAGTACAGGGTAGGGAGGTGGAAGAGAGGGAGAGGAAGAATCGTTTGTGGGCTGGAGGAGAGGCAGATATGGAAAGGTGAGGTAACAGGGAATGGGCAGACATGAATGGCCAGCTGGCCACCCAAATCCAGAAGGTATCTGGGCCAGGACTATGACCAAGGGCCAGGTCTTGATCTGGGGCCCCAGAGCAGCTGGGGGCCTATGCTGATGTTATCACTGGGGGTCATGCAGGGGCCTGTGGTCTGAGCTGCCGCCTAGGGCCACTTTGGTGTCCAAGGGCCACACTACTGTGGCAGCCATGCTGGTCCAGGTGGCCTGTGTTACCATCTGGGACCATGGTGACATCCAGGCCTGGGCTGCTGCCTAGGATCATGTCTGAGTCCACAGTCCTACCACAGCCAGGGTCTGTGTTGATGTCCATGGCTCGTGTTGTCACCAAAGGCTACATAGATGCCCATGGTCTGGGCCACAACCTGTGGCCACAAGGGCATCCAAGAGTTGTGCTGCTACCAGGAACATCCTGATCTGAGTGGCCTGTGCTGTCACCAAGGACTACGATGTCGTCAGAGTCAGAACTGCTACACAGGGCCATGTGTGGGTCTGTGGCCTTACAGTGGGCAGGGTCTGAGTTGATGTCCAGGGTTTCTGTTGTCACCAAGGGCCATGCGGATGACTGGGATCTGGGCAGCCACCTCAGACCACGTCAGTGTCTGAGGAATGAGCAGTGCTCAGGGCAATGCTGATCTGGGTGGCCAGTGCTGCCATGGAGATTTCCTGGAAGGGACCACTGACTAGGGCCTGGGTCCGTAGGCCCAGGAAGGCCAGGGTCTAGGTTGGTATTTGTGGCTCCAGCTGCCACCGAGGGCTCTGTGGATACCCAGGGTCTGGCCAGCCACTTGGGGGCCATGCTGCTGTCGGGGTCTTGCTGATCTGAGTGGCCTGTGCTGCCACCGGGGGTGTGTGTGTCTGGCCTGAGCTGCTGCCAAGGGCTATGTCTGAGTCCGTGGTCCTACTATATAGCTGGGGTCTGTGGTGATATCCACAGCCTGTGTTAGCACTGGAGTCACTGGAACCATGCTGTGCTGAGCCAGCCACACCCCTCACTGGCCCTGGGATGGCTGGTCCTGCCTCTTACTGGATACTGCAGCAAACTGGCCCTATCCCTCAGGGGTGAGTCTGCCCCCACACTCAGGAAAGATGGCCCCACCACTCACCATTGGCATGCACCTCATCTGGAAGCATACTACAGCTGAGGACCAGAGACAGGGCTATTAGTTGGCCCAGCCCAACATCCACTAAATCTGTGAATTGTTAGAGCATGTGAAGGGGATGAACCTACAGACCCAAAACAGCAGGATCCCCATGACACAGGACAACAATAGGATATCCAAGAGGAGCCCCAGTGAGAGTCCATTATCAACAGTATAGCAGAAGCCAGAGGTCTCAAACCAGACCAATTACTCATGGCAACGAACACTTGCAAGTCAACATGAACAAACTAAAGGGTAAACTGTGTCTAACAGGCCACACTACAGCTTCCATGACAAGACTCTTCCTTTTTCTTTGTTTTTGTTTCTTTGTTTGGTTTTGGTTTTGGTTTTTTTTTTTTTTTTTTTTTGGGTTTTTCGAGACAGGGTTTCTCTGTGTAGCTTTGCGCCTTTCCTGGAGCTCACTTGATAGCCCAGGCTGGCCTTGAACTCACAGAGATCCGCCTGCCTCCGCCTCCCGAGTGCTGGGATTAAAGGCGTGCGCCACCAACGCCCGGCTGGTTTTGGTTTTTATTTTAAATTTGGGTTTGATTTGGGGGAGCTTGTAAGGGCAAAGGGCAGATGCAAGATGGGGAGAAAAGTGGAATCAGAATGCATGATGTAAAATCCACAAAGAATCAATAAACTTTTTTTTTTAAAAAAAAGGAAGAAACTGTATCAAGAGGCAAACAAAAAAAGTAATTTATTAGAGTAGATTATGCAAATTAAGAATGAAATAGTGGACTGAGAGAAAACATTGACATTATATATTACATAGGCCTAACAGTCCTAGTAAACAAACATAAATGTTAAAAAAAAAAAAAAAAAAAAGATCTACGGCCCTACGGCCCACCTGATGCAATTCCGCTCAGGTGGGTGCTAGCCACCCACAGGCCAGCCTGGGCATGTGCGTCCCATTATGATGAGCAAATATGTGGTGGAGAAATGGGAGAAAAAAAATAAGTGAGATGGTTTATGTGCTGTGGAAAGAGGCAGAACGATAGAAATGAAGGTGGTGAGGACCAGGCTGCTGCCAAGGACCATGTCTGGGTCTGTCTGTGGTCATGGACATCCATGGCCCATAATACCACCAAAGGCCATATGGAAACGTAGGGTCTAGGCCACAACCTGTGGTCTTGGTGTCTGAAAACCATGCCGCTATGGGAGCCACACTGGTGTGGGTGGCCTGTGCTGCTACCCAGGGTCCTGGTGTCATCTAGGCCTGGGCTGCTGCTGAGGGCCACATCTGGGTCTGTGGTCCAGCTGCAGCTAGAGTCTGTGTTAATGCCTAAGGCCTCGGTCACCTCAGGGGGCCTTAGGAACCATGTGTGATAAAATCAAAGAGTCATGCTGAACTGGCCTCATCCTTCACTGGCTCTAGGAAAGCTGGCCCTGCCTCTTGCTGGACACTACAGCAAGAGAGCTGGCCCCAGAACTCGGAAGAGATGGCCTCACCCCTCACCCTGATCCTGATGGCATGGCTTAGGGTAGAGGCAGGTAGCCCCAGTGGCCTGGACTGAAAAGTTCAGCTACCACCCAAGCCCACACCGGGCCTTGGGTTGACCCACCCTAACATCTACCCCATCTAGGAGCTCATGAAGGGACCGGTCCTGTGGAATGAAACCCACAGGATTGCCATCAGAGGAGTTTTGGTGAGAATCCAGTGATGATGGTGTACCAGAAACCAGAGGCCTTGAACCAGACCAGTGACTCTCTGCAGTGAACATTTGCTAATAAAGCTGACTGGACAAAAGTGTTTACTATGTGACACACCGTGGCTCCCAGTTCCACCAGGATGAATGAATAGGTGTTATAGATGGGAAAGATGGAGGAGTGAAGGGTTATTTTTTTCTTTTCTTTTCTTTATTTTTTTTTGTTTGTTTGTTTTTGTTTTTTTGCTTAGGCTTGTTTGGTTTGGTTTTTTTGTTTTAATTTTCTTTTAGATGGTGCTGCAGGGGTGAGGGGAGGATATGGGGGGACAGAGAGGTGAGTGGGATTAGGGTGCATGATGTGAAATTCCCAAAGAATCAATAAAGAAATTACGTTTTTAAAAGAGAGAGGCAGGGAGGGAAACTAGGCATAGAATAAAGCAGAATTCACAGAAATATATAAATAGCTAACAGGAATTAGGGATTAATTTTTTTTTTTTAAGTATAGGGGAGAGGCAAGTGCAAGGGACTGTGCATGTCCACAAAGGTCAGAGTTACAGAAGGTTATGAAATGCCCAATGTGGGTGATCAGAATTGAACTCCAGACCTCTACAAGAGTGGCTAACTACTATGATAGCTCAGTGGGTGCTCCAAGCATAAGGTCTGAGTTAGATTAGGGAGGAGGGATAAGAAAACTAGAGCTAAGGGAATATAAAAAGACAATGGGACAATGTGTATAAAAGAAAAGTTCAAAGTATCTAACAGTAAGGCTCTTGCTTATAAGACTGATGCTACTCAACTATTTAATGTTATCAAAGATACAGAGAAAAGGGGGGTTATTATTCTAAAACCTGTTATAAAACCTCCCTACAAAACTATAGCCACCTGACTTTAGTATGAATGAATTAAAATGAAAATAAAACATACAGACATTATGTCCTATTAAATTAAAAATCAGTTACACAACAATAATCAAACTCTGATTTGGTTTTTAAATTGAGTATTTGGGGGCTTTGTAGCTTATGACTATGAAAGAATTTTTAAAAGCCCCTAGAAACTGTTTACAGTGGAGACCTCTAGGGGACTGTTTTCTACCCTTCCAGGTTGCTTTCATCTTTCCTCAATAAATGTGTCATACACAACTTATAAAAAATAACTGATCAAAGACAAAGCAGAACAATTTTAGACTGAAGCCTAGGTATAGATCCACCCCCTAAAAAAATGTAAAAATAATTTTTAGACTGTTAAAATTATGTTAATAAGCTGTCAATTTTAGTCAAGTAGTGGTAGTACATGCCTTTAATATTGGCAATCAGAGGCAGAGGCAGGTGGATCTCTGCAGCCTGGTCTACAGAGTAAGTTCAATGACAGCCGGGGCTACACAGAGAAACCCTTGTCTCTGTGGGGAGGCATGGGGGCTGTCGATTTTTATCTGATTAACAAGAAAATATATGAGCTGGACATGGCTTTCCCTCTTTAAAGAAAATCCATTGCATGCAGTGTTAAGAGTGAAAGCACCATAGTTACAGAGTTTGTCTACGGACACTGGATGGACCGTAACAGTGCTCATACCTCGTCAATACTAACCAACAACCTCTGCTATCAACTCACCTTTTCTTGTTCTGTAGCGCGGAGACTCAAATAATTGAGAATCTGAGGCTCCAACACACTTAAGGACTCTAGCAGAGCTGGGATGAGTTTGGGTGCATGTGGTTTCAACATGGCTCCTGCACTTTTGCTGATCTTCACAAGGGTGTTAATGCTAGACACAGAGAACACCAACTCTGAGTCTTTACCAAATATAAAAAAGTCCTACAATCTAATCACGAGGATGTTCTGCAGTTGCATTCAGGTATACTCATATGGTCTAAAGCCTGATCCCAGCAAGTAGGAAGTGGGTTTCTGGTTATGACTGAACCCAGGTCTGTTGGCACTTAAAAAAAAATTACAGATATTTTTAAACAAACACACATAAAACATAGAGAGGTTCAAGGTGAAATTCCTTGTCCTCTTTACCTATTTCTACCATTAGTAACAATGGCCAATTTTACTTCATTTGTAATTTCTTCATACATTTAAGTACAATTCCCCACCACCCCCCACGCGCTATTGTATTACTTTAAGCTAATAAAATTTCAGTATGTATCTCTCTATGAGTACTTTACCACAATTATAACATTTTTATTCTTTTAAAAATACTAATAACTTCTCATTTAAAATTCTGAGTTTTTCTGATTGTCCCAGAAATTTCCTTTAAGAGTTGACTGTGGTGAATGCCTGGGAGACTAAGATGGGTGGCTGAGAGCTCAAGGCCAGCCTTGGCTACATATCAAAACTTTTATCTCAAAAAAATGATAATTTGTTGGAATCCAGATTCAGAGATTAAAGTCTATCCACTGCCATCTTCAAAATTTTGGTTTGTTTTCTTTTGTTTGGTTAATTTTTGAGACAGGGTCTCATTATGTAAAGCACTGACTGACCTGGAATCTGCTACGTATCAGGCTGGTCTTGAACTCACAGAGATCTGATGGCCTCTACCTCCAAAGTGTTGGAATTAAAGGTATGTGCCACCACACTGGCTTCATTCTTGAGACTTTTTAACAGTCTCATCCTTTCTCTTTTTCTCTCATTTGATCTCACTGATTATATTCCAGTTGTGTTAACATATCCCCTGTAATATATATGTAGGCTACCAAGTAAAGGTTCAATTATTTTATAAATATGGCTTATGCCAGTAATGCCAACATTCTGACGTATGAGGCCAGAGGATCACTAGTTTGAGGCCAGACTGGGTAGCATATAGCAAACACAGGGCCAAAGTGAGATATTTGGGTGGACTCTGCCTCCCAAACAACCAAGCTCTTTCATAAGCAATGCTGCATATGTCTTATCCCACCACATCAGAATGCATAACCTGTCATATGATTTTACACTACTAGAGTCATCACCGGGCTCAAGTTTGGCCAGTCTGAACCTTCATTAAGTTCCACATTTGCCTTTCAGGCAGTAGGTTTAGGCACCATTAACAATCATGGCATAGATTAGTTTACCAAAGACAGCAAAACAGTTGGTTATACCCAACAAGCAAGCCCCTGAAGACCTGTGGCATATGGAAGACGTGCTTGCTAAGGAAAGGGGCCAATGACAATAGAATAATATGCAACTCAGAATGCTAGTTCAAATCAAGGTCCCCATGAAATAGGACTATAAAAATACTATGACACATCTTTTCATAAATACTTGGGTTACCTCAATGGATTCTCCTCAGTCCATTTTCTGTATTTTTAGGAATCTAGCATTCAAGAAAACACATTTTCTACAGACTGACTAGAAACTAAATAATTTCAATACATTCACTTCAACCAAACCACACCTGAGGGCTCGGACTTCCGTCACAGGACTCATCATTCCTTTGTCCAGAAGGCAGGGCAGGAGGACAGCAATGGTTCTCTGGCCAGCTGCTCCTTTGGCAGGGTCACACATTTTCACACAAACCTCACATACAAAGAGCATGGACATTAGTGAAGCTGGCCTCTCGACTATGAAAGCATTTCTCTGAAAAAGTGCTTTTTTATGTCACTATCAGGAATAAAGAGCGGGTAAGTCTACTTTCTATGTACTATGGAGGGTTGGAAGGAGATAGAGGAATGACCAAATATGGCTCCTGAAGATCTGCCATATCTAATCAGAAAAGCTGATAATATATTTTATTTTCTACTTTCTGATTTGTATAATGAGGAACAAAGGAGCTGAAGATGTGATGAAGATGTGTAAGAGAGCACTTTTTAAAAGGCAGGACAAATTCTGGTAAAGAACACAAACCTAGACATGAAAGACACCTACATGGATTTAAAACATATTTTTACTACTGAGTAACGTGATCAATAAGAAGGCTTATGCAATTAGAATATATATCACAAAAATAAGTCCATGGGGCAAACTATTTGGTTTCAAAAAGCCTGCCAACCTTGTAAATTTGGGGAAGATATTAAAAGAAGACATATATTGCTTCATTTAAGTACGTAATGTGTTCTTTGGGGTTAAAGGAAAGGTATACCTCATGTAGAGGTCTCAGCATTTAAAGAAACCAGAGGTATATTGTGCTTAAGATACACTACCCTTAGTGTAACAAAATCCACTTTCTTATTCACTGTAAGAGCAGTAAACTATGCAAGCCAATTAAGGCAACATTATATCATATGACAAAAAAAAATCAATGTCAAGTCCATGGTGCGTCCTGCCCTACTCTATCCCACTGGGAGATGAGTATTCTCACCTTGCTCAGAGTTTTCAGAGCTAGTTCTGCTGCTTTCCGTACAGATTCCTAAAAATGAGAAAAGTCTGGCATTATACATATTAGACAGCATTCATTCTTTTCTATTCTATAATACATTATTAACTACCTTAGATCCTAATGCAAAATAGTAAAACATAACTTTCAATAACAGGTTTAAGTATATAGTATTTCACTGGGCTCTTTGCCCATTAAGGAACATATATATTTTATCTATTTTTGCCCATATAAAAATAGTCATTAGCAGTCCAAAAATAAAATGTAGTATAAAAGTAAATACATAAAAATCTCTGTGAGATTCTAATAGAATTAACATTTTCTAATAAATAAACCAATAAGAAAGACAAGCCTAATGGTCTAATTTTAAGGATGTCCAAATAGTTTAAAATTTAGATAATCCAGTACTTGAGATGGATCTTGATTATTCTCAAAAGATTTATGTGCTAAAGACTGGGTCCCCAGAGAGGCATCTCTAGAACCTCAGAGAGGGATGGAAAGTTTAGAACACTGAGAACAAGCCCTTGAAGGAGACTATGGGGCCTCAGACTCTTCCTCCTTCTCTTTGTTCTCTACCCCAAGTAAAAGTTTTCTATCTCAGACTTTGACCGCCTTGTCATAGGTCCAGAGTCCATCTATGATAAATAATAACCTCCAAAATAACTAAACTATTTCCCTTTATAAATTATCTCAGTTCTATAGTAATATGGAGCAAGAAAAATACTCAAAAACTGAGTTTTTTTCATTAATCACATTATTTAGAAATGAATGCCTAATTTTTGAAACTTTAGTCATATGAATTACTTCCAAATGGGTATTTGCTCCTAATCCAACAGCATCATGAGATTTCTACTGAAAGAAAAGGCATGCTTAGGCCACCTTCTTTAAGTCATTTCAGTTTAGACCTAAATAAAAGATACCCAAACTTGTAACTTAACATGTACATCAAAGCTGGAGATAAAACTATGGTTTCCTAAAATTGTCTAGACAAGGAATTTTGAAACATGTGCATTTAAAAAACCTATAGCATATTTTAATGATTCCAGTTTAAATTAGTCTATACATACACACAGATTGATTTCTATAATACCTTAATATCATCTTGTACTCTAAAAAGTGTTTCCCACATTTCTGGAAGTTTGTCAATGACGTCATCTAAAGGTCTTCCTCTCAATAACTCATTCAAAGCTAAACAGCTGAAAATAAAAACTTGATTTCAAATACATGATCAAGCAAGTCCAATATTTAACTACTAAATAGTTATATCGAATAATAATATAGATTCCATCTGTATGTCTAGTCCTAGCCTCTCCCCCGCAAGACAATCATAATCATTCTAGTATTACCTCAAGTATATCACATAGGACACAAATCACTAAGTGACAATTCCTACAACTATATAATTTAATCCCTTTGAATGATACACCAATAAACCACTTTTAACTCACCTATGTGCTCCTAATGTCTCATATATCATCAAGCACATAAGAGGCATCAAATGAGTACAAAATGCATATATAAAGAAATTCTACCCTATGAAGCCATGAAATTATACAACTTGAAATCTACCAGTTTAACAAGTGATCCAGAGATTGATAAAGTTCACATTTACATAAGCTAATTTTGGCAAATCATCTAGTAGAGTTCAAATAGTTAAAGAAAAAGAACTAACTCAACTAAAAATATATTTATTGGTGGTTTTAACTTAATTTTTGTTACACCATGTAAAAACCTTAGAAATTTGAAGGGGAATTTTCCAGTTTTATTTGGTTAATCTAATTTTCCAAGGTACCTGGATTCTCGAACTCGCCACATGTTGCTGGTAAGGTTTTTAATCAAATCTTGAAGAATTTCTTTCAAATACTTATCTACCTAATGAAAGCAAAAGATAAAATGAAAAATGTAAAATCCAACAATCAAATTATTTACCTCCCAACAACACTGATCACTTTCTTTATTAAAGTATTCCTAAGCCCCTGAGCCTACAAATCTCTCAGCACTTTGCAAGCACTCTAAAATGTAAAGATAGATAATCCTTTTCCATAGTGCATGAGAATAAAGTCTAATCACTTGGGCTTTATACGATACAAGCCCAGTGTGACTCATCTTGACATACAGGTATCTTGTCTGGTCTTAGTTCTGTAACCTGGCACATACTACCTCTACAGTCCTCTTCCATGTCCAACTTGAGTAACTCCTTTTTGCCCATGGAGATTCAGAGTGGCCACCACTCAGAGAAGCTCTACCAACTCTCTTCCATGTACCCACAGCACCTTAAGGTTTTCTCAGAAGAAATGCACTGTCTTTCCATTACTGTACTGCTCTATACACTGGAGACCTCAACGGCAGTGTTTGGTGAAAAGTATTATATGGTTCAGAAGGTTAAATGAGTTTGAGCTAAGCTTTGGTAATAATAAATTGATAGTAGACTCAGTTGTTATACCAACAGATCTAAAGACTCTCAACTTTTTCACTTTTACTCTTGTAGTTAAGTTTTGTTATGTTCACTTACATGTTAGATGATCAAAACGAAGTAAATAACTCACTTAAAATTAAAAAAACAGCTTCCCATATCCCCTCCTGTATTTTCCATATGTGTCTCATCACAATTGTGGCTTAACAGTTCACTTACTCAAAGATCATGCCCACATCTCAAGAGCCAAGGTCTGTAACCTGAACTCATATCTGTAACTCCCATTAGCCTTTTAAGTCTTGGTTGACCCAGATGTACCACATCCTATCCTAGAGCAAATAGAATTCAATGAGCCCTCAAAGTTGAATCCTCAAATACCAACAACCATGAGTAGGAACCATGAGTGTCATATGAAAGAAGGAGGACAGAACTAGACCTTGTTCCAGGTCTTGTAAGGTGCAGGTAAAGAAGGATGAGTGAGTATGATCTAAGCTTTGGTGATAACAAATTGATGGTAGACTCAGTTGTAAGAGTAAATTGCAAGCTGAAAGCAGTTGTGCACCCCTGTAACCTAAGCTATTTTGGAGGCTAAGGCAAGAAGCAGAAAAGTTTAGGACCCAGTCTGAATCAGATCAAAATCTTGTATCAAAGTAAGTACTTTTTAAAGGGGTCTTAGGAAATAGTATCAGTGGTAGAGCACTTGCCTAGCATGTTTAAGAGCCTGGGTTCAAACTCCAATATTAGAAAGAAAAAAAAAATATGAACTAAAAATCCATTTAAAAAATTTAACCAAAATTCAATTTGCAATTTTAAAAATCACTTTTGCTACTATGTAAATAAATTAAACACAGGGAAAAGAGAAGAAAAAGGTATGATGACCTATTTATCAGGAAAGAATCAGGGACCAGAGTGGATTCAAGGAACACTTGATAAAAGCAGTATTTTGGTAATATATTGTGTACCCTAATAAAATTTGCCTGAAAAACATAGAACAGAACAAGACACTAGATTAACCACAGATTACAGGCAGTGGTGGCACACACCTTTAATCCTAGCACCTGGGAGGCAGAGATCTGTCTAGATCTCTGTGAGTTCAAAGCCACCCTGAACTACATGAGATTGACTCAGTATAGGAGAGAAACAGAGCCAGAGAGTGGTGGCACACGCCTTTACTTTAACACAATACTTGAGAATAACAATTCCGGTGCTTGAAATTTCATGCCTTTGCTTAGGAAGCACACACGCCTTTAATCCCAGCACTAAGAAGGAAGTGATATGGGCTGGGCTAAGAAAGGTATATAAAGTGTGAGGAGACAGGAACTAGAACTTCTTTGGCTAGAGGCCTTTTTGGCTGGAGAGCTTTTGGCTCAGGACTTAGAGGTGTTCCAACAGAGGATTCATGGAGTTGGCAAGGTGAGACCTGGTAATGGCTTGTTCCTTTGTCTCTCTGATCTCTAAGCATTACCCCAATACCTGGCTCCGGGTTTTTTATTAGAAGACCATTTGAGAATTCGTGCAACAGACTCAACATAAACTGCTCCTAAATTCAATGTGGGATTGAGGGGTTTATAAGACACAGACAGCAGGTTTCCCGGCTTGGACAACCTCATGACCAGTGAGAGTACAGGAAGGGGAAAGGTATCTTTTTTCTTTTCAGCTCTTCATGTGTCATGTTACAGTTATGGTACATGTAAAAAACAGTCAAGTGAAGACGTCCAACAGGCAGTTAGATCTGTAAAAATGGATGGAGTACATGTCCTATCTGAGCCAGTACAGAACTAAGAACCATTACAATGCACAGAATGTTTATGTGCCCAGGAATTAGTACAAGGAAAGCTAAGAGGACAACAGTATTCAGAGGCAGTTTCTGAAAAACCTTTATTTCTGAAAGGAGGATAGAATGTAATCAACAGTCAGATGACAGAACAAGAAAAGCAATATATGGCAACTGACTATTTCTTTGGTCTGTCTTCCCAACTAAAGTAACTCTTTAAGCACAGATTTGTGATCCATGCCCCATGGCATCAGTGATCCCTGGTAACATATAATACTCTATTTGTGTGAATATACTGCTATTCTTTTAGTTATCTATCTACCCAAATGAACATTTAGATCACTTTCATTTTTGAGATCTCAATAAATGTTATAATATCTTTGAAAGGAAAAGCAAACAACAAGCAATGGAAGCAAAGAAATTGTATACAAAGTGCAGGGGACATTAGTTTTAATCCTATGTGGTAGCACAGGCAAGCTACAATGCTTCCTAAAACACAGGTTCACAGATACTTGCCATTGACTTGTCAGTGACCAATGCATTCCAAATACTTGTCATAGCTTGTCGAATTCCAAGATTGGGATCAAATTGGTAACGATAAAGTCGAGGAACGAGTTGAGGCAGAAAAGGAGCCAGCTGTTCTCCTGCTCTGGTAGCAATTACATTAAAACCAAAAGCAGCACCCTAAAAATAACAAAAAGAGTAATTTATACATGCCTGCTACAGTAAAATACTAATATATTAAATACAAAGAGGCCATAAAATATGCTTTCTCAAATTTGTCCTTGAATAGAACATTATTTAGTACTCCAGCTTTAGCAATAATAATGGCTAATATGGTAGTCCGGCTCTCAGACACAGACTTTTCAAAACTGACCACACATCAACTGGCACTGCATGGCTGGTGAGAGCTGGGGGTACATCATTCAGTAGCAGAGCACTTGTCACGTATGCACGAGGCCCTGGGTTTGACCACCAGCAAAAATTTAAGAAAGAAACAAAACAATATAGCAACTTACCTTCCTAGAGTTCCACATTGCATGATGATTTGCCAGATTCATAAATTTATATACTAGATCTGGCTGACTAAGATCACTTGCCAGAGAACAAAGCTCCTTGTAAGTAGAAAGGCCCTGGCTTAGAAACAAACAAAAAGAAATACATAATAAAACATTTTTCTAGCTATTTTGGGTTGATATGAATTTTACCATCAATTATTACAGGGGTATTCTTTTAAACTGTTCTTTCCCTCAGTTGATAATACCATTATCATCACTGAGGAGACAGAAAACAAGAATATAAAAAGTCATATACTCAATTATCAACTATTCCTAAGTCTTTCTGCTGGTAAATATCTGTTGTGATTTGAATGTGAAATGCCTCTCGTAGGCTCATGTGTTTGAATACTTGGTGCCCTGCTCATGGTGCTGTTTTGGAAGGTTGAAGAATCTCTTAAGAGGCTGATCTTTATTGTCTAGAGGAAGGAGTTACTAAAAAATGAGCTTTGACATGTTACAGTCCAGTCCCAATTCCTGCTCCATATCTTCTTTCTAGTCCAAGAGGTCAGTGGGTAGAGTCCCAACTAAACACTCCTACAACCATGGAGTCAGCTACCACCATTCCTTCCCTTCCATGACGGATCTTACAGCATCCAACTGTCAAGTCAGGTACAATGGTTTGTATCTCTGTGGTCATATCAGAGGATTCAACTAAACCAACTAGTTCAGGAACAACCCAGACAATATGAGACCTTATTCCCCCAAAAAGAAGAAGAAGAAAACAAAGAGAAAAAAGCTCAGAAAGAATCCACAAAAACAAGCAAATAAAAAGAACTTTTGATGTGAAAACAGTGATATACAGAGTAACAGGACAGATAAGCCACCTACAGCTTTCTGTTATTCCAAATGCCACAGGAAAACAGAACAAGCATCATAGTTTGCCTGACAATTTTTAGAAGAAAAATAACAATATAACCACACTGAAATAATAATAAGGGAGGGATAGCACCAAAATTAATTTGAAATGCTAAACTGGAAAACTAATCTAAGACTACAAGTTTTCACAGAAAACAAATTTAAATGAATTTAATGTAGTAGTACTATGCAAGGTCTCTACTCAGGACTCAGCTTCCCGGAAGCAGACAGTTCTGAACCTAGTGTCAGTCTCTGAGAACCTTAGTCTTGGAGGTCGTGGCCTCCAACAAAGCAGCCTACCACCAATAATTAGTCATCGAACAGGTATGAATGCTTGGGAAGGGTCAAAGCTCTGTGCCATCCTAGCTTAAAGCCTCTCCAAAATCCAGTGTCCAATGAGGTTATGGCATCAGTTCAACTTCCCTCTACCATCAGCAGTCTACTTGCTGAACCCTCCCAAGGACAATCCCAAGGGTATTTTCCAATCAACTTCCAGCATACAAACCTCTAGCTCAGTCTGTTTCCAAGGAAACCTAATCTAAAACAGTAGGGTCCCCTCCCTCCCCATTACCATTTTTATTTATCCATCAACAAACAACATTATTGCTCTGCCCTAGTTGATCAATGGATTTAGATTTAGCACACTTACCCATCAGGTGTTTTGCCAAGGCCTCCCCCTTGAAATACCACTGTCTCTCCAGAAACTTCATGTTTAGCTCTAAAACAAACAATTTAAATTAGCTTCAAATTTTCCATACCAACTAATAAGCAAATGGATTGCAAACTGATAAAATCTGTATCTAGTATATGAAAGATAGAAACTATTCTTTTCTATCAGACTGCAAATTTTCTAAACTCAAATACAAACAAAACAAATTCACAGATATTAAAGATTTCTATATAAAATTACAGGCAATGTGTCACGCATAAAAACTACCCTTCCCGAAAGGAAGCAACAGAAAGCAGTAAGTAATTACAAAACCAATCTCCCTCCATGCACTCATCACAGATCAGATTATAAATGACATTCAAGTTTATTCATCATATCTTAACGTTTTTTAGCCAAAGAAGGTATTACAGTGATTTTCTAACCTGATGCTTCAATTGTCATGGGATGATTCAAGTTTGAAACCATGACCTAGTACAATGTTTCTAAGTAAACAGTATATACACTGGGATAATTCAACTGTGTAACAATCATTGATATGCAATGGCTTAATGAGAAAGTAGAAGGTTGAATTTTTCCTTCTTCCATATCATAGTTTCAATGTCCTATGTATTGATACCTGAAATTTTAAAATTCACTATACCTTTTGCCAGTCATAAGTGTTTCTACAAGTGTAGACACCAATTCTTGCTGATCTTGTTCGTTGCCCAGCTCATAAACCAACCCAAGCCCTTTTGAGGCAACATCTTGGCTGAGTTCTACAAAAAAGGTAGACAAAATTATAATATTCTAAAAGAAATTTAATTATCTTTACTCTAAAATTATATAGAAGTAGAGATACAAAAGCAGAAATCACTCTATTTTCCTAAATCAACTCAGTGGACATGGCATCATGAGTCAACGAATATGAGAATCATGATCAAAGGCCAATAAACTAGTGTGACAATAACCATGGTATCAGAATATCAACATATGCTACTTATATTCGAGACAACAAACTACCCTAGAATTTTAAGACACCCATATCCAATTTTAGAAAAATAAAGGAGATACAAGTCCACATGTCTTAAATAAAACGGGGGGTAGAGACAGAATCTCATGATTCTCCTCCTCTTATCTGCCACATTCTGGAATTAAAGGCATACATATGGCTTGCTTCATTCTACTCACATGGCTCAGAATGTTTTGTGCTACAATCCATTAACCCATACTTTTAAAACTTAAAATACACATTTAAAGAAGCTGACAGGTCAAGTATTTACGAACAACCTACCATCATTTTCTGACAGAACTGAAATAAATGCACTCTGAATTTCCTTAAGATGAGACTGAAAGAAGAGAAAAGGCATTAGCACTGAAGTCCTCTCTCTCCCGAGAAACAAGCATCTCCCTGTTAACATGCATTGAGGCCAGAGTCTTAGGACCAAGGCAGTCACGAACCTTTCCATCCCTTCATCTTTACAGCTGTCCATCTTACTAGACGTTGTACCCCTCACAGGTAGTCTAAACATTCAGTCTAACCTTTGTCCTAATATGAGTGAGTGAGTGTGTGTGTGTGTGTGTGTGTGTGTGTGTGTGTGTGTGTGTGTCCCCAGCACTCTTGATTTTATATCTTCACGTTTGGATCATTTTCTTGCCAGTATTAATCAGATCACCATCTGAAGGATCACTACTTCACATGGAGCTTACTTCAGAACTTCTGCGATTTTTTTTAATGATTCCAACCTTCATATACTTTCTTCTTATTTTAATTTATAAATACTCTGGGATCCTTACAGAATTTATCACATATATAATGCATATTATGAAGCTCACCTTCACTTCTATGTGGGTACTCAGCTTCCTCACAAGCGAAAGGAGCCAGATGCAAGCTGCTTGCCTCACATGTGGGTTGGGGCTGATAATATGCTTACTTAAAATAACTTCTAAAACCCAAGGGACAACATCATTCACTTTGGCACCTGAGGAAAAAGCAAAGGAAGATTGCAATTAAAACGCTCAAATATAATTTCCTTGAAAAAAATAACATTTAAATCAACAATCATATAATAACCTGATGTTGAAATCTAAATGACCAAGAATGTCCAGGACCTAACATAAACAAGAACATTTTTAAAGTATCAAATAACTCTAGATCATTGGAATGAAAATTTATCCCACTCTCTTCAATCTCAGAAATTTTTCTTTACTAAAACTTTCTAAACTTCCATCTAAAAACAAACCAAGCAATATCTTTGCACTTCATTTTGTCCTTCAGCTAAAACACAGCTGTCTCTTTTCCTCATTACTTCAGGGTTTCCCAGTCCCAACAGCACTGTGGCTCGAGGAATGGCCCTTCCCCTTCCACTATACAAATGAGACTTGTTTCACCTCACCTGTGCTCAAACAAAAGCCTCCATCAACCAAGTCATCATACTTACACTGCAAGAAAAATGGTTTTCCTATTTCTTTTAAGTCTCTCTATGATAGATAACAAATTAATAGGTGAAGATGATACACAGTGATAAATGTTAACTACAACACTAAGTGCAATAACTATATTCCTTATGGAATACAATTTATAATGGCACTGTTACCATGAAAACATTCTTATTTAATTTTTCCAACTAAGAAGATAAAATATAAGCATGTTATGATTTTTCTTTTAGCCTCAAAGATTAAAAAAAATCCTGGTTGAATACTAAAATATACTTTCAATTCTAATTTCAAATCAACCCAAGGAGATATCTGAGTTTGTATTTTAGATTTTTTGTTTTACTTTGTTGCATTTTTCTTTTATTTTAAAACTAAGCTTATTCTTTTTGTGTGTATACATGTGAACACATGCAAGAAAGCTCATGCCACAGTACAAATGTGGAAGTTGAGAGGTCAGCTTTGCTAGAGTTGGTTCTACACCATGTGGGTCCAGTGACAGAACCCAGGCCTTCAGGCTTGGCAGCAAGCACCTTTAATTGCTGAGTGGTCTTGCTAGACCTTGACTTTATTTTTGTTGGTTTTTTGTTTTTTGTTTTTGTTTTTATTTTTGAGACAAAGTCTCACTATATAGCCCATATGTCCTTCAACTTGCAATCCTCCTGCCTCAGCCTCCCAAGTGCTGGGATTATAGGCATACATCATCTTAGTTTGAAATCTTACTCTCTGTAACATATACTCAGGAATGACATACACACTCTTCTCAATTATGTAGTCACTAAATTCTAGCACACTTCCAGTACTAGCAGGGGACAGTGGAACTCCACTATGTAGTAATGAATTAGATATAAGAGGCTGGGAAAGGTCTCATTTTATACTCAATCTTTTTTTTGGGGGGGGGGGTGTGGGCGGGGATGATGGCAGGATCTCACTATGTAGCTCTGGCTGGCCTGGAACTCAGTATGTGGACGAGTCTGGCCACTGAACTCAGAGATTCTCCTGCCTCTGCCTCCTGAATGCTGGCACCACCATGCCCAGCTATGTTCAATCCTCCCCCCGCCCCCCTTTTTTTGGTTTAAGACAGCTTTAGCTGTCCTAGAACTAGCTCTGTAAACCAAGCTGGCCTCAAACTCACAGAGATCTACCTGCATCTGTCTCCCAAGTGCTGGGATTTAAGGCATGCACCACTATCACTCAGCTTGTTCAATCTTATTTAATCAATCATTCTCCTTGACAGACCAAATTAGAAGGCATGTATCAATATTTGGGGAAAAAATTATTTTTGTCTCGAATCTGACAGAGAACAGAAGAAAGGCACTCAGCAACTATAAATCAATTAGGTAAGTATTTGATACCAGCAGGAGGTGTATACTCTTCCTCAGTCACCAGCCAGGCATCTCGGGCAGCCACAGAGTTAGTTCCTATTGCAGCACTGGTGATCGCTTCACCAATAGTGAACTGAAGTTCAATCTGCTTGGCCTACAACGAAGCAAAATGAAATCCGTGAATATGAGAGCATTACCCCCCGCCCCAAAAAATATCCATTTCTATAAAAGAGCTGTTTTACACCTTACTTCTCAGCAGGCTTTATTTTCACTCTTTTTTTGTCATTTAAGCTAATCCAGTGATTCAAAAGTGGTTGGAGTGAAGGACTGGAGAACTAAGAAGGATTTGAAGATCATTTCTCACACCCATGAGCACAGATGCTTCTTCACCCTCAGCACAGAATCAGTATGCAGTGGTTTTTAGTCTTTGGAAACATGATATGCTTACTGGGGGGGGGGGGAGCTAGAGTGGTTCAAAGGTGAAGCCACAGAGACCTCAATGCAAATTCTAGCTCTGTTTCTTATCAGCTACATATCCTTATCTAAATTTTTCTGGGCCTCAACAACTTCACTGGTTAAATGAACACAGTATCATCATTCACCTCAACGGGCCATAAGGATTAAATGATGTTAATTTAGACAACGCTTTTGCTAGTTAGTGTGCCTGACTATAGTAACTGTACAATGAATAGTGGCCACTATATTTTTATAAAAACTCTTCACACTCTTCTATGATATCTGCAAGCTACGCACAAAAAGTCCTGAAAAAAGTAGAGAATGATTAGGCAAATATAAAATGTTAACACTTGGTAAATCTAGATCAAAGGGTATACAAGAGTTCTCTACATTATTCTTAAAACTTCAAAGGGCAAACAAAACTCTATGTAGCTACATACTCAAATATTTACATCTTAATTCAGAAATTTTGATGCTGTTTTACAAGCAGGAATCACTGTCCCAACATGGAAGTGGACCTGCCTTAGCGCCCTCTGGCATTTTTCTGTTTACTGTGAAACATTTAAGTATTAGAGAAAGAAAGATGCAATGCAGAATGGAAAGCATAGGAGGGACTTAAGCACAATGACTACACAAGTTTTGCACTGTTATTTTTAATTTAGTGTCTGGTCTTTGTGAAGCATCAAGTGCTCACACCATGGGGTTCCTAATCTAGACGAACAGGGCTGAGGGTGTCAGCTCTACAGTATCCCTGGTCAAAAGTTTCTCTGGGGACCTTTAAATCAGAGAAGAGAGGATCCTTATTAGGAATTTAATCGTTGATTTGTTTACCTGTTAATTACATGTTTCCTATTGTTGACACTATAATTGGCATAAAAAAATCAAAATCCTATAGCTAATTTTGGAATAATAAGGTATCTAGGCTTACTATGTAGCAAAGAAATAAAGAGATGTAATAATTAAATAAAACAAGTTTGTGGGGAATCCCTATATGGTTACTTTACTTTTGTACAGGTTTGAATTTCCATAATGAACCTTAAAGTAGGGCTGGCCAGGTATTCACTAGTAGAGTGCTTGTCTAGCATGTGTAAAACCATAGGTTTCATCCTAGCACCACAAAAACAAAAAGGTTAAAATAAACCAAAAAACACATTTGGGCTTTATTTTAGTTAACTATGAACAGATTCAGTTTTTCACTCATCCCTATCCTTTAATCTTTCCATACTGCTTCCATGTTTTTGAATTTTTGGTATTTTTGTGTTTCTAAACCTTTAAAACAATGACATCAAAATGTTAAAACTCCGACAAGCTCTCATTTACTTACACAACCAGAACTGACATTACAAAGAAAAAGATGAAAAAGCAGACATAAGCTTCTTTCCAAGAGGTACAATGAAACTGGTGTGGTAGTCTGAATGAGAACGACTCCCATAGACTCATGTATTTGAATGTTTGGTCCCCAGTTGGTGGAACTGTTTGGGGAGGATTGAAAGGTGTGTCACTGGGGTGGGCTCTGGGACTAGGCCATTCCAAGTTAGCTTTCTCTAACTCATACTTGTGGATCTGGATATGAGCTCTCAGCTACTGCTCTAGTGCCATGTGTCTGCCTGCCTGCTAATGATGGTCATGACTCACCCTCTGAACTAAAAGCCCCAAATAAACTCTTTCTTCTATAAGTTGCCTTGGTTGTGGTGTTTTGTCACAGCAATTGAAAAGTAACTAAGACAACTGGCATCTGATGATACCAACATGAGTACAATTCACTTTGAAAACATTATATGGGAATGGGGATGCAGCTCAGTGATAGAGTGGATGCTTAGTCCCTGGATGCACTTTCCCACAGAGAGGAAACAAAAGAATCTAGGCTTGAATTTCAATTCCAGTTCCTTACTCAGTTATCTCAATCCTCACATCTTTTAGCCTCAACTAAAGTCTGTTTCCTTCCTCCCACAATCAAGGCTCAGCAGAAACTTCCCATCCAAGCAGATTATACCAGAATCCTCTGACACAATCACACCCTCCTTTAGGATTCTCCCACCTTCTACGCAAATATCTTCCTATTCACTTATTTCTACCAATATTTATGAGAATCTACCTTTGCGATTACACTGGTAGACTTGTGTAATGATGAACAAAGCAGACCCTGCCTTCAGGAGAGAGAATAGTGAGAAGATGTGATAAACGCTGTAAGAAAAGGGTTCCAAGTTATTTTAACTAAAGAATCTCATCTAGTTAAAATATCAAAAAGGTTTTCAAGAAGCACAGCAAAAATCTGAAAAGGAAACATGAGATTTTCAGAAGCTCAGAGCAAAGAGGCCGGTATACAAATGTGAGGCAGGCAGAGGCAAGATTAGGTCATGCTAAGACACTTACCACAATTTGCTAGTATTCACTAACTATAGGTCTTTCCCAGCACACTTGGCATCAGTAACTCAAGAGTAACAAGAATACCAGACCCAACGTTCCAAAGAGGGCTAATTGGTTTCTTCTATTTCTACTATACCATGTTCCACTCAAAAATAATTAGTCTTTCCCAGACATTCCATTCATAGAGCTATTTCTAACACAGTAATAAGCCTAAAGCTAGCACATTCAAAATACTTGAGAAAGAAACAAATGTTTAACTTTTTAAAAATCTCAGAGTAGGAGCTAGAGAGATGGTTCAGTGCTTTAGAATACTGACTATTCTTTCAGAGAGCCCAGGTTCAATTCCCAGCACCTACACGGTGACTAATGACTACCTGTAAATACAGTTTCAGGGGACCCAATGCCCTCTTTTGGTCTCTGTGGGCACTACATGAGGGACACAAAAAGACACAACACTCATACACATAAAAGAAATTAACAAATCCCCAATGAAACAAAATTTAAAAATCTCAAGAGTAAGCAAAACAACTAAAAAATGTTTTTTATTTGAGTAACAATATAAATACCTCCACAGAATCCATCAGACCTCGCAAAAGGAGTTTCTGGTGGGGAAAACCCCCATCCCCAACTGGAAAATAGCCCAATGTTTGGATTGCGCGTTCTTTCATCTGGAAGAACACAGATTCTTTTTTAAATTTTAAACAAATTAAATAACAGCTTTATCTCTAAACAGTATTTCCAAGATGAGATGACAGGAAGAGGCAATCAATCTGCTAATACACCGGTGTCTACATGATTACGCCCCATTCTACAGTATTATAAGACATTAAAAACAGAAAACTAAGCCCATTAAGGATTCATACCTAAAAAATTAAAAAGAAAAAAGAAAGCTTTAGGCTTCTTATTTAAACTGTTCAGGTTGCAAATGTGATTTACAGGCACAAAATTACCTGTACTACCTAGCAGCCCTTGAGCAAGTCACTCAGCTCTCTGGACTCTTTCTGTGCGGTCTCCTACAGAAATGACAACCATGCCTATTTCACCACATCTTCTCAACGACTTCATTTAATACATGAGAAACCTATAGCACAGATCTTGGGTAACTTGCAATATTCACCAATGACTAACAAAAACTGGTTCATGATAGCTAAAAAGAAAACTAACGGTGTGATTGTCTTGGTTAATAGGATAGCAGCTAAACCAAAAACAAAACTACATTTAAAAAAAAAAAAACTTAAAGTAAACTGGTGTTTTTCTACTCATTAGATCATCTTAATCTTCAACATCAGGTGCTTTAATTACAAAGAATGTTTTAAAGTCTATGACAATTATCTCAACTTAAAAAACTACAGCTGCTATTTCCATCAGATTATTCACACTGCTTCCTAATGCCTATACTTCTTCAAACCAAACTGGCTCTAAGAAAGTAAGACTTAGCCTGCACTAAAATGATACAAATCATGAAACTGAGCATTTTATTATCCAGCCTTTGTCTGACAAAAATGGTCCTTCACTGCATTTTTAATTTTACTGAAAGCCTAATTAACTTAAGGAGCTAAAGTAGAATAACACAAAAGATAACACACAAAACCGTTCCTACATCTCCCTCACAAGCAAATTAAAACAGCAAATACTTCATCAAAATACATCTTTATCATTTGGACACATTAATAAAACCTTGTTCTAGCTGCAGTGTGCATGGTGGATGTAGACAGATGACTATACTCGTAATAACTTGGTTTTCTTAGTTTATACAACTATGAAAAGAAACACAGAAGTCTAGAAGGAAAAGAAAAAAGAAAGTCTTGCCTTATTTGTTTCTTTACTGGAAGGGATTCTATTGAGTAAGCTTTCTACCAGATGCAGTTTGGTAAATCCAGATCCTTCACTGGGGATTGGGAGAGGACCATTTCTGCCAATTTCACCCAGGGCTGTGCAGGCAGCAATTGCCAAGAGAGGTGATGTACTGTCTAAAAATGAACCTGTAAGCACATTTAGACACAACTGAGAGTAGCACACTAATTACTATGATTTAAAGCAGTCAGTCGTGTATTAATTTTTTTAAAGCAGCAACCGAAAAATCAAGGTCTATAATGTTTTCTGGTTAACCACTTGTTGACATTTATCTAATAGTAAGACATCATGACAATAGGTCTTAAGTGTCCTTGTTACATTTTTCCCTATAACGTAACTGGCACTGGCATATAAAAACATGGAGAAATAGATTATTTTATGGAAAAACTTGTGCCTTTAAAGTACAATGTTGTAAGAACTAAAGTACCATATTAAAATTTAACATAATTCAAAACCTGCAGCAGCCAAGCCAGTATGGACACTGACCTATTGTTTCTGTAGCACTCCGAATGAGCTCCTCTTGCTCAGGCAAGAGATCAGCATCTGTCTCCAGGTCGTGCTGCTCTGCTGTTCTCATTCTCTTCTTAGCCAAGTATCTTCCCACAGTGAATCCCAATGCAAGCAAGGATCCATGTTGTACCTCAGGACTCTGAATTTAATAATAATTTAATAACAGTACTGTTTCTACCTCACACATGAAAAGATATACTAATGTAACTGTTGTTAGAATAATGTCTCTGATAAAACCTAGAAAGTAAAATGATTCAACTGGAAGCCAATGAATCAAACTTAAGTAACAGCAGTTTCTAACAGAGAACATTGAGAAGTTAAGCTGGGTCTTTACTCATGTGCAGATTTAGATACTTGAATTTCATACAACCTCCAACTGTGGGTCATGTGACCTTTAAATATGCTTCTGTAGTCCTTATACTTTCTTTTTTATTTAATTTTTATTTTACACATATGAATGTCTGCCTCAATGCATGCTTATGCATCATGTTCATGCAATGTCTCTAAAAACCAGAAGAGGGTGTCAGATCCCTGGAACTGGAGTTACAGACGGTTGTGAGCTACATGTGGGTGTTGGGAATTGAATCCAGGTCCTCTGGAGGAGCAGCCAGTGCTCTTAACCACTGAACACCACTCCAACCCATTATATACTTTGTTCCTGTTTATAGCACTATACAGCTCATTATCATAATGTTCAAGGATAATTTCTCCATATGGCAAACAAAATACAACGAGCAGCCCTTTTTCTAACTGCTAAAATCTCCAAATAAAAAGGTAGGCGATATACTAATCAAGTCTGCTTTTTTGTTGTAGGTATTGTGATTAAGAGGTAGCAGAGATAGGGGTGGGGAGAGCTAACAACTGAACACCAGGCAGTCCTAGGGATTCCCTAATTGCCTACCACAATGTGCACATTTTCTAAAACAGTACTGTTCAGACACAGAACTAAAATCTACTAAATGAAGTGACTGAATCAACACATCTATCTCAATTTTTACTTATATAGGCTAAGAATGTTTAAGTTTACTTTACAAACGGATACCTAAAAACTAAAAGTATAATCAGGTACTGTGTAGAGCCCTATCACCTACTGAAAAAGAATGAGAACAAAGCTGAGGAGTATGGTGGCACATGCTATGGCAGGAGACTCTCAGGTCTGAAAGCAGTCTGGGCTACAGTGAGACCCAGGCTCAAAAGCTCCAACAAAATCAGGTTAGTCCACCCTTGTAAGGAAACTTCCTATTCCAGGAAAATGGTCCTGCAAGACTCAACTATTTCCAGAACTGAGAGACAAACAGGGTAAAAACAAATTGTTAAAATTTTATATTTTTTCAAAGCCTAACAGGCACATAGGAGAAATTGATCCTTTCTCGAAAAGTGGCTCGAAAAAAAAGTTCTTGTCATAACTCAGATCTCAAATTGGGTAAATCTGTTAGTATGAAAAAGGAAAACTTGCCCCAGGATTAATAACAGTGCCTGAAGTTCAGATATAGGTTTCTATATTTTTGTTAAAATATGAAGTTATTTTATTTAAATAACAAAGAAGAATGAAAATAAGTTGATAACATACATGATTGTCTTTTGTAGCCTTTATAAGTTGTTCTATCATTGACTTTAATTCATTTCCGGACACTGTTGACACAACTACAGAATAAAACAAAGCCGCCAATTCACGCATCTCTTCTTTACTGCTACTCATCAGACTCTGAGCAATACAGAAAAGAAAGAGATAAATGATCATAACCATCTTCCTGTTGACAACATCGACATTTAGAATTATAAAGGTAAATGATATATTTAACATTCAATCTATTGATATCCACGAAAAATATAATACAAGAAGCTATTATTTCCAAACAAAATGACTCTGCCAGGCTCCAACCCACAGTTACAATACAAAGGTCACACATATGGTCTTGGTTAAACTACATAGTCACAAAAAATTAAAAAATAATCCAAAAGTCATGAATATGGAAAAGAGGCTGATGGTAGGATGGAAGAGGATAATAAAAGAGAATGGTGGAGAGAACTATCAGAATGTATTATGTTCGTGTATGAAATCATCAAAGAACAAACTTAATAAATCTGAACTGGATCTAACCCGACACCCTCTTTCCTGCAGTCTAGCTTCCACAGTACCAGAAAGTACTACGCAAGCTGCCAAGGGAGGAAAACAATAGTCCTATTTAGCTGTGACACCTACCAGCATGGCAAGATATCCATAAAGGTGCAATAATGGCACTCGACATATCAGTGGTAACCAACAGCTGTCTAAATGGACTCAAGGCCCATTCAACAGGAAGGAAATCATGCCTGCCACTAGAAGCCTAGCCAACTAGTGAGGACCTGTGAGATCTTAGAAGAGAATCTACTATCACCACTTAGCTAGACCAGGATAATTCCTAACTAAGGAATTTTATCTTATCTCTCTACCCAGAGGTTAAGTATAGCTATCATGTCTCATCAAAAAAGCTTCTCTCTATAACAAATGGAGACCATTATAGAAAACTACAACTGAACACAATGCAAACATCAATGGACTGTGGGGGAGCCCAGCCTGATTGTATACATTTGTAGCACAGCTCCTGCCTCCATGACTCAGGTAACATCACAGAATGAGGTTGAGGGGTTGGAAGACCCAGACTACCAAGACTGCCTCTCTTCAAAATGGTTGGATAAATAAGACCAGAACAATGACAATATCAATAGACATGCTAACACAGCAGAGGGAAATCTTACCAGGTCCCACCCCTAGACAAAGAACTACAGACAATCAGTGATTGCTGAGGGAGAATTAGCCTCTTCCAGGGATGAGCTTCCTGACTGGTTATCCAATACAAAATGGTCACCCCTGAAATCATATACACACAAGCAACAAAAATGGACTCATCAGATTGTATGTATATATTTGTATGTGTGTATATACGTGTATATACACACACGTGTGTGTAAGTATATATATATATACATATATATGCACATACATATATATCAAACAATAATAGAAAATGAGGCTATCAATTTGAGAGTTTGGGAGGGACATGGGAAGGGTTAAAAGGAGGAAAGAGAAGTAATATATTTTTATTAAAAATGTAAAATAAGCCGGGCGGTGGTGGCGCACGCCTTTAATCCCAGCACTCGGGAGGCAGAGGCAGGCGGATCTCTGTGAGTTCGAGGCCAGCCTGGGCTACCAAGTGA